TTGCTGCACTTTTGCCACCTTTGTTTTCAATCATCTGCACATGGTGCTGTAAAATTGGATACAAACACAACACTTCACTTGCAGTGACTTTCAATTTCCCAGCTTTCCTGTATGATTCCACTTTGGCAGATGTAAACAAAGAAGATAAAGCACCTACCTTGTGCAAAGCCTGTGGGAAGTGCCACATGCTGATCATGTCCTGCATGGCACTCCAGGCTGGCAACCCTTCAGATTGCAAATGCTCCAGAACCAAAAACATACCAATGTTCAAGCAGCCATTGGAAGCCATGCCATGCATGTAGTCATGAACATATTGCGAACATGGTTGCAGCCAATTTCTCAAGCATGGGGAAGCCAAAATACCTTCATGTGAAAAAGTCCAACCAGTGCATTGCTCCCACTGCTGAAACTCTTGAGGGGTGCAAACACCCTTCTTGGCACTGAGGCGGTCAAAGCTCTTCAAAGCTTCTTCATCAGTTGTTAAAACCATGTCCTTTTTGCAAATGGTCTTGAGCACTGCCTTCTCCTCATCCTCCTCAGCTTCTAAAAGGAACACAATTTGATCACAACATTTCAAGCAATAATTGCTGCCTGAATCACCCTTCAGTCCAAAAGTGACTTTCTGAGAAGCACCATCCTGCACAAAGAAGCCAATTTGAAAATGCAATCTGATGAGTTCACTGCCAGGACCATGTAGAAGAACACCTACCAAAGGTGAAGCTACATTGTTGCTAAATATGTGTTCCAAAAGAACCTTCATCACTTGACCCATGTGACCTTCCAAGGTGGCCACAATGGAGCTCCTGACAATGCCCAAAACCAGCCAATGCTGAGTATGGCTCAAAGCTTGCCGACCAAATTCCTTGAAAGCAGCATAGACAACCCAAACCTTCTTTGCAGCTCTCCCCAAAGCATTGGCAGGGAGGCATTCATCACTGAAAAGAATCAGGTTCCAAGGAGTGTCTACTCCAGTAGGTTTACCAGCCAAGGATGAAAGCAAACACTGGGAAAAACTACCCTTCACTTTGCATGCAGCACTCAATGCAGTGTAGAAATTCACCATGGGGAGAGAGACAGTACCTCCATCGCTCTTCAGGAAGTTTTTGTGAAAAATAGCAGGCCCATAGGTTGCTGAAGCTTTGAGCTGTTGCTCAGCTGCTTCTCTCATTTGCTTGCGATTATTGAGTTCTGGCAGCCCATGCTCAGCAATATGGTCCAGTATTGCTGCCAAAGAACTTTTGCTGCAAGAGGGGACAGCTTTTCTCAGCACATTAAGTCTCTGCAGTTTAGCTTCTCTTTCACACATGGCAGTAGCAAAAGCAAAAAGTATGCAATTCAAACAGGTTAGACATTACATGCAAGGCTGCTTGCTTTGTTTTTTTGCAAGGTGGCACATTCAATCTTCTTCTGCAAAACATATGACATTTGAGGTATTGTGTGTTGCATTGCTAATGGAATTGTGTGATTTATCAACACCCTGGTCATCACTGGGCCTGGAGCCACTGTCAAGCCATTCACCAAACAATCTGTGTTGTGTTTTTGGTTTTGCTGGAACATGGCAAAGCAACTAGCCACTGGGACTTGGAAGACAAGAGGTTAGAAGAGCACTATAGTTGAGCCACCTGGGCTTGCAAAGGTACAGCCATTTAGGCTTGACAAAACACTTCTCACCAGCCATAGCAGGCTTGCAGTCCCTTTTCTTTTTGCCATTGTTGGAGGAAATCTTATTGATTGCTAACAGCTCATCTTCAGTGATTTGCACTGGTGGCTGCTGCAGGAACCCAGAAAGCAAAAGCACTAAAGTGTGCCTTTGGCACCCCACATTCAAACCTAGCCACTGCCATTTCACTTCTTGTTGTTTTGCTTGGCCCATTCCTTCCATTCTTCTCTGGAGGAGAATCTCTTCCCAGTGAAAGTGTCATCCCAGCACTGAGTCCATCCTTTCACATTTCCACGGCATCTTGTGCACCCATAGATTTTGTTGACTCTCTGGACACTGGCTCGTGTCAAAACAGTACTTGAGGAAGCTGCTGGGCGTTTCAACACTTTCTTTTTGTTTCCATTCTTGCTTGCAGGCTTTGACTTAGCCTTGGCATTGCTCCTTTTCTTTTGCAAAGCTTCCCAAGCTTTGGTCTCAATCTCCTCCAATGAAGGTTTGTCATTGGCCTTGGTCTCCACAGCCTCAGCAGCAGGTGTGCCATTTTGCAATGGCAAAGGTCCAGCATGGTCAGGTCTGGACCCAGCACTGGGCTGCACAGGCCATCCAGGCAGACCTGACATGGCCTGCTGACCAGTATTCTGCAAAGGCAGTGGGTTCATTCTGCTGTGTTGCATGTTCTGCAACTTTTCTTGGTCCTGCTTGGAGTCCCATTTCTCCATGAAGTCATTGAGCTTGCTCATCAAAGGATCTGCATGCTCCTTCTTGGCATTCCCCTTCTGAAGGTGCTTGCAGTGAGCTGGTGCTTCAGCCCAAAGCAAGCTCGAAGTGGACCTCAGTGGAATCTTTGGGTAGAAGGTGGCCACAGAAAGGTCAGACATTGAAGGCTCTTCATTTCCATAGGCCTTCTTCAACCAATCCTTTGCCAATTGGCTTGGGCTGCTAGGGTACATTTTCAACCCAGGAACTGACTGACCAACCTCAGTATGGTTGAAAACCTGAGCCAAGTCCACAACCATTCCATAGATGGTCCAAGCACAAGGCAATGGGTTCTTGTGCACAGTCACATGCAAGTGCAGAAGTGTGGCCACTGCAGTCTTCTTTGTCTCTTCCTTCATGGACTTGATGCCCAATTTCTTCATTCTTTCAGACATGATTCTCATGGCATCCAAAACGTGACATTGAGACAAAGCCTTCCAGTCAGCAGTGGTGAGGTAAGGAGGCAAGCAGTGCAGAGAGGAAGCTTTGGTTTCCAGTTGCAGGTTGCTCTCTGTGGACACTGACAAGCTATCCATTGTGTGCAAAATATCATCCTTGATATTTTGAGGCAACTCAGCAGCTTCCACTTTGTCGTAGAGGGCAGACAATGTGCTAGCAGTCATGTCAGTAACATTGGTGAGCCTCTGCTTCAAAGAAACCAAGCAAGCTTCTCCCATTTGAGAGTTGGGCCGCTTCACCAAGAGGTTGGCAACATGCTGGAGCTCATGGCAAAAGTCTTCAGCAGTCCACTTGTGAGCCATTGCTACTTACTAGGCCTGTTGCTTGCTAGGTTTGAACCAGTCTGCCATTAGGAAAAGAACTGGTGTATAGAATTTACATGTTTGAGAACATGTCATGACAGTCATCTAGCCAGCAAGGCTTGAAGTTAGGTTTGCAAAGACAGTTTGTGTGCAAGTTCAAACTAGCCAAAAAGGCTTCTAGGCACATAGCCACTTGTGGGCTTGAGTTACCTAGCCACCAAGGGCTTGCAGCAGTTCACAAACAGCTTTCTTTTTGGATAGGTTGCCAATAATCTATGTCAGCAGTTGACACACTGCAGCAGGTGCTAATTGTAAAATGCATAGTGCAGCAGGTGCTAATTTGAAAATGCAAATGCCCCAGGCTATTCACATTTAAGATGCTATGAGCATGATGCCCATGCGCCTGGCATATTCTTGATAGAAGCCAACACAAACTGAACAATCGCAGTCAAACTCATGCTGAGCATCAGAATCCCAGTCAGGTACAGTAGGGCAGATGCTTCTCAGCTCAGCCTCGGACATTCTGATTGGCTCCTGATGGTTGTCCATGGTAGTTGAGCAGGCACTGGAGCTGCTGCTGGCAGGAACAGGCTCAGGTTCAGGTTCCCACATCACTTTTCTTTTCTTTGAAGCATGCTCTTCACCACAGGCAGTGCCAGAAGCCATGGCATACAACAGACTCTTTAGAGCTTATCTTTGAAGAAAATATGTTTGCTATAGTGTTTCTTTTTACAAATGTTTACATTTGTTTGTAAATGTGTTGTTATTGTTTAATCATGTAGATGATCAACAATTCAACTGGCTAAAAGTATACAATAATTGGGTATGATATAACATCTAGATACCCATTGAACATATGGTCATGGTTGTTTTTTGACTTTTTGGTGCTACAGTCCTGAAGCAACAGCTGAATGTAAAACATTGTTTCTTTGCAAAAGGCTTCTTCTTTATCTCCAATGTTGAGAATTGTTTTTGCTGTACTTGCACAGTTCTGAGTTAGTGGTTTCCAAATGTTTGGTATTCACTTGGATGGCTATGTTTGTACATTGTCTCTGTCAAAATCTATGCCAGCAATTTGTTTTCTCATTGTTTTTGAAGCAAAGGCTGAGGGCAGCAACATTGTTCCAACTTACTTTGTAAACTGCTATGCTTGCAGCTTTAGCCATTGAGGCTTTCACATCTCACTAGCCACATTGGGCTTGCTACATTCTAGCCATCACAGGCTTGCAACATTAGCAGTCCATTTTATAGGCTTGCATTTGGTTTTCTTAGCCATGAAGGCTTGCATAGACACAGGAGCTTTTGAAGCTTGCACAAGGGTGAGCCACTGTGGGCTTGCAACAACTCTAGCCCTTGAGGCTTTCATGTTTGCAAGACACTTTGGACTGGAGCCATTCAGGCTTGCATTTTAGTTACGTTTACAAACATGTTCCCAACTAGCCACCATGGGCTTGAGACTAGCAACAGCATTTTTTTCCATACTCCACTGACCAGCTCCTCTTGGAGATATTCATTTGTACACTCTCTTAGGATCAACATTGTTGTTCCATTTCAACTGTGAGTACACTTGCTCGTACAAATCCTTCAGCTGGCCTCCTGCAATGTACCTAGGTGTGGGCCAGTGATCACATTCCCAAAATTCCCATGCATTAATGCATTCCAAAAAACATCCACAGAATCACAAACAAAAACCAACAACAAAAGAAATATTAAATGCAGTTGAGATACACTCGGTGCAAGCGCCACACTTCTGTCCAGTTCCCCAGCTCCAGGTGGGCCAACAGTAGGGCAAGTTTATTGAAGTTTCCACTTCTATGCCCACATCAGTACGCCTTGTAGTAGTTGGAGGTGGTGGTGGAGGTGCCAGTGAATCTTTGGGATCATCATTCTTGGGCTTTTTGCTTTGCCATGTAGGCATGGGCAATTTTCTCTTCTCCATTGGCTCTTTTTTCATCTCAGTAATTTCCTTGTCAGTCTTGTCCTTCACTGCACCCTCATCCTTTTCCTCTTTGACAGCAATCCCCATTGCCTTCTTGTACTTCTCAATCTCCTCCACCAGTAGCTTGCCCAAGCTGTCTACATCCATTTTCCTGAGAAACTTATCACTTGAGGGATTCCATCAACATGGTTCAAAAGAAAGTTCAGAGCAACAACAGCAATCACTTTGGACAAACATTGTAGTGGAGAACAAACAATGGTCAAGTATATCACAATAGAAACAGCAACAGTTTACCCCAAATCCAATGCAAGAAACTCTTCAATGGTGTTTTCAGGCAATGAAGCTACCAGGTCAAGCAATGACTTCTGCTCAACCTCCAATGGTTCCTCTTCTATATCTTCCATCACTGGGCTAGGAGGCTGAGTCTTATCATCATCATCATCTTTCTCCTTCTTCACCAAGAGATTCAATGCTGTACCTGGAACTTCCCAAGCATCTTCTTCATCAGTTGGCATTGAAGAGCTCATTGCTAGGTGGCACAGTGTGACTGCAGCGAGAAAAACTGAAGTTAGTTTTGTCAAGCATCTTTGAAATATATTATTACAGAGCCTATGCATATGCATTTTTTGTTGAATTATTTTTCATTTTATGGATAAATTATTGCAATATTTGTATTTTGAACAAAATGTGTAGATTCAGATTCTGAATCTAAAAATCCAAAATTTTTGATTTAGATTCAGATTCTAAATCTAAAATTCTATATTTACAATTTAGATTAAGAATCTAAATCTAAAATCCAAAATTTTCATTTTTCGATTCAGATTCTGAATCTAAAATTCAGTATTTACAATTTAGATTCAACATCTGAATCTAAAATTGTATATTGATGTAAACATGCATATTTAAAATCAGCAAATATATTGGTCAAGGTCGAACTTTAGAAAGCATCTCAGGAAGCCAGTGATACCAATATAATGTAAATCATATCAACTATTCTTTGTGTCATAATTCTTGTTGTTCTGATACATGGTGTCACTACAATATACTACAATCTCATTTTCCTGAGACTTGAGCAGTTCGCATTGCTACCATGATACTAAGTCAACACAGTGGAAACTACCAATACTAGCTATGAAGGCTTGCAGTGGACCATCAAAAGATTGTGATTAAGAATGCAGCGCAGTTTTCTTTCAATTATTCCAACTAGCCACATTGTGCTTGAGCTCTAGTCCACCTTTCAACTGGCCACTGTGGGCTTGCATTCCACTAGCCACATTGGGCTTGAGCTCTGGTCCACCTATCAACTAGCCACTGTGGGCTTGCATTCCATAAACTACTATGCACTTGTCAGTCAAAGCCATTGCAGGCTTGCAGATAATCTCCTGGCAAAGTGACTCAAACAATTCTTTTACATAGACTGGCTGACATTTGTCTGTATGCACTCTTCGATCTTTGGATCCATTTCCCAAATTGCTTTGAAACATAATCTATGAAAATGGATGCATTTCAAAATCTTGCAATCATTTTGTGTTGATTACTTCATCATTACTTTCAGGATCCAAAAAATTGATCAATGGCAATCTGTGCCATGGGCTTGGGTACATTGTAAATCATTTTGCTCAAGCAGGCCACTGACACCTTGTTCACTATCTTGCCATTCTTCATCACCCTGTAGGTCAGTCCATCTTCTCCTTGTTCCCAATATGTGGTCTTACCATTGGAGGCTGGTGGATCAAACCTTCAGGGTTTCACAGTTGGAGAAAACAGCAATGTATGTACCAACATTAAACTTTTGGGTTGGTCAGGTAGTCTGGCCCCACCTCAGTGAAGTCTTATCACTGAAAAAAAACACAAACTCCAGGGATCCATGGTCAGTGTAGCATGTGTCCACCACCAAGGGTACCTCCTCCATGGCATTCATCTCAGTCATCCTCAGTTCTACTTTTCCTTGAACAACAGTGCAGCACTTAAACACATGGTTTCAGTGAAACATCATAGCCACATGGGACTTGAATCAATGTTTTGTAGCCATTGAGGCTTGAAACCAGTAAAGCCATTAAGGCTTGAAACAAGTCAGCCATGAAGGCTTACATTGCAGACATGCAGGCTTCCATGTCAACTAGCCATAAAGGCTTGCTACTACATCTCCCAGCCATTAAAGGCTACAGTTCTCTTGGTGTAAACAACAAATATTTTTTCACTCCAGTGCAGGCAGGTCATCGCGGTCCTTCAGGTGTGAACATCATTGCCACTCCTAAGCCTACCTCCTCACAGGCCATTCTGGCTACTTCCTCTCTCAATTTCCTTAGCTATTTACATTGATGAAAATGAACCATGTTTGTCAATCAAGCATATTCAATACCAGCCATATAACCAAATGAAAACAAAACACACATACTAGTATGCAGTCAAAGATCTACACTTCCCACCCTTAGATGTACACATTCTATACACAAAATTCATGAACACTTGAAACTTTGCAAAATCCTGTGAATGAAATTTGCGGCCAAGATGCCACACTGTTCTTCCACAGTCAAAGGTGAGTTGGGTACCATTGTGCCAGTGCTCCAGGTTGGTAATGATAGGCATTTTGACCAGTCAGTCATTCAGTCAGCCAGTCAACCCTACACACATTGAGCCACATTGCTTACCCATATCCAATGCTGCAGTACTATCAACCACATTGTACACAATAGCTTGGTAGCTTCCTTTTTTGCAAAAGAGAATGGAGTTCTTTGAACATTATTTAGATTCATCACTAGCAACAATAGGTGACAGGTTCTATCAACTAGCCACATTGGGCTTGCACAGTGCCAGAGAAAGTAGTAAAAAGGCAATGGTTTTGAAACAAGTGTGTCTGCACCAAAAATGGAATGTGCAGTCATGAGAAAACAATAGCCACAAGGGGCTTGCACAGCAATGATATAACACTAGCCACAATGGGCTGAATCTACTTTGATTCAATCAAAGTTCCAAAGCCTTAGAGGAATTAAAGAGGTACAATAAGCCACATTGGGCTTGCACACACTAGAATATGCAAAACTAGCCACAATGGGCTTGCCATGAGTTAAGGTTGCCAACCCCAAGCCATGGTGTAGGCATGCAATGCCATTGATGGACCACAGCTTTTTGTTCCTACAGATTTGCTGCTGCACTGTAGCAGGCAGTCACTTGGTTTTCCAAGCAAAAAAAAACACATTAATTGGAAGTTGGAAACATTGTGGAAATATGTCTTCCACCTTGTAGAATTGCACTATGCACATGCAGAAATCAGCCCTGCTGATGGATGGCGACTGCATCAAAAAGATGACACAGTCACCCTCCACAGGTAGGAGTGGTTTCTGCATGTGCACATTGCCACAGCTAGGTCTAAAATCATTTTTGCTAAACAAAGTGCAAACACATTCAGTCAATCCTTTCAATGACCACCAGAAGCCTTTACACAACAATTTCTGTAGCACCAACTGTTCAATTCTGCAGAATTGATTTTGTAAAGGCCTTTGGCTTTTGCCACAAAGACTGATGTTTCCCAAATTGCCAGGAGAAGCCTTTCTCATTCTACAACCTGCAATGCCTTTCCAGAGAACCAAAAGGTTGCAACATTGTCCTTCCAAGAAACAGCTGCTAGAAGAAGCAAGCAAGCCATAGCTGTTCTCATGATCCAGTGATGTAGTCAAGCTTTGGGCACCACACATTGCCTGCACCAGTAGAGGGCCAAAAAAAAGCTGCAGGATTTTCCTGCACAAGCTCATTCCTGCCACACACAGGCACACACTACATGCATCGAAAAAAATGTTCGAACCAGGAGCTGCAAGGCAACCACAAACTTCTGTGCTCCAACCAACTGAAAGTAAAACCAACTAGCCTCAAGGGCTTGCAAAAGCAAAGGCTGCCACAAGCCATGAAGGCTTGACATGAGAAGTGTAGCCATCAAGGCTTGGTTCATGGTTTACAAAGCGATCATTTTTCCAGCAGCACAGGAGCCATGCTAGGTACAGTCAGTGGAAGTCAACAGAGTCATTGCTTAGCTTTCTTGTACTGCCTCCTATCTGCAGCTAAGCAGTCTGCAGCTTCTTCTTCAAGCAGTTGCAAAACAGCTTTTAGCTGATCTGGTTCCATTCGAACCAGCAAATCACTTCTAGTAGGCCTGGCACCTCTCAGAAGAACTTGTACAGGCTGCTCTTGGACTTGAATCTCAACAGTGAAATCACCAGCATCTGCACATTTTCTCTTCTTGGAGGCAGGCTGCTTGTCTTCCACTTCCTCACTCTCTTCAAACAAGTTCTCTTTTGGCTCAGCAGCTTGACCCTGGGCATTCAAAAATGTCATGGCTGCAGTGTTCCTGTCCTCAAGCATTTTCTGCAAGTGAACACTGCTAGACAAGGACGGGTTCTTCACTTTGCTCCTTGACACCAGCTTCACTATGCTTGGGTGAGAAGGCCTGATTTTCAAATAGGCATTCCCTTCAAAAGTTTCAACCAATGCTGAAGGCAAAGACATCCACTTGTCATCCTGGTACTTGATTTCCCAAGAAGTTCGAAGCTGCACCATGGCTGCCATTGCACTATACCCACATGCAAAAAGAAATGCCAAAACAGTGGGCTTGAAGCCAAAGCATTGCAAATTCAAGGATCAGCATCATTGCCATTGGGGCAGCAAGGGGTTCATGCAACCATGGCAGCTTGGAAGAAACACTTGCAAGGAAAGCCACTGAGGGCTTGGATGCACTCACTAGCTATGAAAGTTGAGCATGTCACTTGTTGAGCCACTGGGGCTTTGCTTCCACAGTGACACTAGCCATATGCAGGCTTGCCAAACACTTTCTATTTCATTCTGCACAGTGGCTAGGTACCACTCTTGTAGGCAAAAGAGAACTGACTCCATCAGTCCTAGCTGTACAAAAAGATGGAATGCCTATGGCAAAACAGCATTCCTTCTCCGCCTTGTTCACACCTAAGCCTTCAGTTTCTGCTTTTTAGCAGAAGAAGCATTTTCAGGCTTCTCAAGGACCAGCATCTCTTCAGGGCCCAGAGGAGTGCAGTTCACCAAGCAAGGGATCTTGCAACCATCCACTGTAGCTTCTGCCAGCTGCATGTTGCCCTCATTGTCAGCACTTTTCACCCACCAGAAAGGAGCCAGAACACCTTCACCCTTCTTGAAGTCAGTCAAAGCTTTGAAAGGCTGAACAAGCCAATGGTGCCCAAAGGCCTTGATGTAATGCTTGCCTCCAACTGGTGTGTCTTTCACTTTGGTGACAGTGCCTGCTGGGAACAATTTCAATGCTCCTTTCTTCACCTTCTTCACTGACCAAACCAAGTTGGGGCGGTTGCTGAAGGCTACATCCTCAGGACCAACCATTTGGTCAACACACACTTGCAGCAAAGTCTTCTGCACATGTGCTTTCCGCAGCTCTAAAGCCACAATTGCAGAACCATTGGCAACTGCCATGTGTGCAAGAGCTTTCAAATGGTGGCATTTCTCTGGAGGTGCTGACTTGCACACCTTCCACTCCTTCAGCTTCTCAAATTCCACTTCAATGCTTTCAGCTGGGCCAAACACTGGCTGGTGAGAGAATTTCACTTTGCTTGCACTGCTGTCCAAGAAAGTCCAAATCTTGTTTCCATGCTCCTTTGAACATGTGTACCTTGCAGAAATGCGTTGGCAAACAAACACTTGTCAAAAGAAAACCAACCCTAAGGAAATAAAAGAAACTTTCATTGTGCCAAGTCACAATTGGCCCTGCTTCATGTGCGGATTTTGCAACAGTGCCAGCTCAGCAGGTGTACTGGCCAAGACATTCTTCACCTCCAGTTCAACAGTGGGCTTGGCCTCTTCCTTTCTGACACTTGGTTTAGCTCCACCAGCCAAATCAGCAGCAAACAGTGTGCAAATAGCATTGATGCTTTCATGTCCAGCTGGTTCTCTGCCATGCTTCTCTTTCTTCAAGACATGCAAAGTCAGTCTGGTACACAATCTCCCAAAGGCAGCCAATTTGGTGGCTTGTTCAGCAGTAGATTTCTGGATCACTTCCCAGCCATCTGCCAAAGCTTGCCTGAAGCTGCAGGCCATGAACCCAAAGTAGACATGTCATGTTTACAGGGCATAATGCAACATGTGCTTGGTAAAAGGTAGAAACTTCAAACCACTGCAACAAAACAAATGCAAACAAGCTACTCAGCCATGTCCACTTGAGCCTTGAAAGCAGCATTCTTCAGCTTCTCACAATCTGACTTGTTCAGGAGCTTAGAGTATCCATCACTGGATCGGTTGCTGCACATCATTGAAGCCCACCTCAGCTGTCAAGCAGTAAGCAAAAAAAACCTTTGCCTACAGAATCAATGGATTACCAGCAAAAAAAGCTAATGGCCCATGTTCAACAAAATGCCAAGTTGCAGTGCTGTCCTCAGGAAAGGGTACAAGGAGGTAGAGCCTTTGAACTCCATGTAGGCAATGGACTTCATCATCTCTTCCCCCAGAAGCAGTGACCCATAGGTCTTACCTCAGCTCACCAAGGCAAATGATGTCTGGTGTTTTGCAATAGCCACTAAAGGGCTGGCCAGCTGTGAGCCACATTGGGCTTATTGACATAGCCACCAGGGCTTTCAATTGCTACTTGCAGCCATTCAAGGGTTCAAGCTAATTTAAGCCCAGCTGCTGAAGTGAGCCAAGAACTTCACTAGGCATTGCCTCTCTCCTGCATACCTGGAGACAAACCATGCAATGGCTTCCAGAGACCTCTTGCAAGCGGGGTCACATTCCTGCACTTTTTGCAAAGCTTCCTTCAAGGCCATTCCATGGTTCAAGTACTCGCACATTTATTTGACTTGCAGCTTCGATCTCAGTCATCTGCTGGTAGGAGTTGTTCACTGCATTCAAAGCTGATTGAATGTAGCTGGGCAGCTGGGGCCATTTCACTTCCACTGCGTTGCTCAAAACAAGGAAAGGCCAGCCCTTGGAGCACAATTGCTGCAACCCAGGGTCTTGCTTTGGATCCACTGGAAACCCCAGGGGTCCTTTCAACCCTTGCTCCACTGCTTTGCAGAAGGCAGCAGTGTGGCTGGTTGCCACTGTCAAAAACCTTTCCTGGAAAGTCACTGGGGCCAGGGTGTCACCAGAAGCTTTGACCAAGGCCACATTTGCATCCAGTTGCCTCTTTCTCATGCCTTCCTCTGTTGCCAACTCGAAAGCCACAGCACCTTCATTGAGAAGTGAAGGTTGGACACCCACTTTGACCATTCGATGGCCCTTTTCCCAGACATCTGCAGCATTCAGCATACTCCCCCCTCTATTGCTAGGGTGAGTCAGTGTATCCTTGGGCAGCACATGCTGCTTGTACCCAAAGCCACTGCCACTGAAAGTCTTGAACAGCTTCTCCACTTTCTGCAGCACTGGCAAGGCTTCATTGGCCAAGATGGTGTCCACTTCCTTCACCACTTCTGCAGGGATTTGGCTCATGGCTGCAAAAGTTTCAGTGCTACAGCATGTGTTGCAAAACAAAATGCCAGAACATGTGCATGTTAGTGGAACATGTGGGATCATGCTTTTCTTGTCAAAGGCTTGCCCATCCAGTGTTCAATTTGTTTTCTGCTTGAGCCATGCCACAAGTTGCTAGACAAAGAAGCCATTGAAGGACTTGCAACAATTAGCTATCCAAGCTTGCTGACTAAAACTTAGCTATTCAAGCTTGCTGCCAAAACTTCTAGCCACTATGTGCTTGCAATAGATAGCTACAAAGAGCTTTCAAAAGAGTGGTACCAAAAAGGTTTGCACCAAAAGGAAAAAAGTTCTGTGCCCCTTGTTCAAATCGTGCACATGCACAAACATTCCTGTCTGCTTTGCTCTTGTGCAAAAGAATGGAAAATTCGTTAAAAAAACAATCTTTTCCAAATTAGCTTAAATCAGCTAAGTACTTGCTATGTTTTAGCAAAATTAAAAAAAAATAAGATGACTTAGCTAACTTTACTTTTTTTAGCTAAATGTTTTAAACATGTTAAACCACTAGGATGATGTTAGCATAACAGTAACATACACCTAAGTACAAATTCAGATATATTTACATAAGGCTTTTAAACATCATAACCCACTAGCAAGACCACAGCCCATCCAAGCACTCACTCCCTCCCTCCCTCCCTCCCTCACTCACTCACTCACTCACTGTACTTGAACAAACATACACACACACACAAACTCACCTACCTACATACATACCTACATACATACCACCATCGTCCCTCCATCACTCTCATACTTCCTCTTCCCTTCTCGCTTTCTCTGATCAGTCTAAGTCTAAAGAAGTTGGTCACATGTGGGGTTATCCGGTCCTTTAATTTTTTTTTAACACCTACTTAGAGGAATAGAACCTAAAGGTTTAAATATGTTTAAATCCGTAGGTTTGGGGTTGGACATGGACCCAGTTCAGGGTTCGGTGCGGTGGTTGTTGGAACATTGTAGAAACCTCAAGCAATCACAGCGTAGTCTTGGCAAATTTGATGCAAAGTAAAGAGGGCAGGGCCTAAGATATCTAGATCATCATTGGTAAATATACCTAAAAATATACCCAATGATGTCCCATGGTATCCCAGTTTAAGAGGTTAAATCCCCATCCATCGTTTGTTTTCACGCTACTGTTGTTTTCGGGGTCACCGCCTGGAGGCGGGCATGAGTTTTTTCATCAAACTGCTGCGTGCCTTCATTGCCAGCATTTGACATGTTGCGGATATTGACATGTTGTAACTGTTTGCATGTACGTTGCAGATGTTCTCGCATGTTCGGGGTTGGGGGATGGGGGGGTGTAATAACGTTCCTGACGACTTTAAGACGGTTGCACATAAGGGTCAGATTTTCGTACCTTGCAACAGGTGGGGTAGTAATAATAGTAATAATTGCGTGCTGTTCATTTTGTTTATAGATGTTGAGCCGTGAATGCTAAGATAAGAATGCATGTAACACAAGCATAACTCACTATAGACTATAAACTACAATAGATTATGATAATTCCTGATTCAATCTCCAAAACCACAATGATCAAAAACGCCCGCCTGCCTCAAGGCGGTGGTCTCTTGTTTTCCTTTGCATTCTTTGTTCCCAAAACCTCACAGATATGTCAAAGCCTGGGGCGGGACATTTATTCATGGTGCATTCTGGCAAATTGAAGTCAACATGTTTTCCCTTCTAAGAATGTTTTTCCCTGATGAAGAACATTTAACAACCACGATATGTTGACATTTTCAGATGCCTTTGTTCTTGTCATATGAATCAAAACTGTTTTTCCTCCAATAATTATTGGCGACCTATTAGCTTCAAACGGGTTCTCCGTTCTGGGTATAAGTGCGATTTTGCATGAAAGACAATGCAGGTGGTTCTTATTCCGTTGGAACTGTATATACCCGGTATGCAAATCCATGACCAGGGCTCTGTACCTATGGATATTAATGTTTGCATCTGATTAGTGTGAGGGGCCCCCCCCCCCCCAAACAATTTGAGGATACTCTATAACTCGCACTTTTTTTTGCCCCCCCTCAACTTTTTTTTTGTCAATCAAATTAAGAAAGGATTTCAATTTACTTTTAATTAATTAATTTACTTTCAATTGATTTCAATTTACTTTTAATTTACTTTCAATTGATTTCAATTTACTTTCAATTGATTTCAATTGATTTCAATTTACTTTCAATTGATTTCAATTTACTTTTAATTTACTTTCAATTGATTTCAATTTACTTTCAATTGTTTTCAATTTACTTTTAATTTACTTTCAATTGATTTCAATTTACTTTCAATTGTTTTCAATTTACTTTTAATTTACTTTCAATTGATTTCAATTTACTTTCAATTGATTTCAATTTACTTTTAATTTACTTTCAATTGATTTCAATTTACTTCCAATTTACTTTCAATTTACTTTCAATTTACTTTTAATTTACTTTTAATTTACGTTCAATTTACTTTCAATTGATTTCAATTTACTTTTAATTTACTTTCAATTGATTTCAATTTACTTTCAATTGATTTTACTTGGAAAACCTTGCATTTTAAAGCTTTAACATAAATATGGCTTTCTAAAGTAAAAGGACCAGCTTTACCCAAAGAAAGGTGGAGAAAGGGTTTTGTTTTTTTTTCACTCCCAAAAGTTGGTGCTCACAATAGAGTACCATCCAAACAATTATATTATTCAGTAACTGAGCCACTCATGAGGTATACCCTTGAAAAAATGTCTGGATGCTGTTTTTTAATAAGGGTTTAATAAGGCATCTAATTATTTGGGAAACCTTGCATTTTAAAGTTTTATCACAACTATGGCTTTCTAAAGTGAAAGGACCAGCTTTACCCAAAGAAAGGTGGAGAAAGGGTTTCGTTTTTTTGTTTTCACTCCAAAAAGTTGGTGCTCACAATAGAGTACCATCCAAACAATTATATTATTCAGTAACTGAGCCACTCATGAGGTACCCCTTTGAAAAATTGTCTGGATGCTGTTTTTTTAATAAGG